GTTTCTAACTTTTGAATAAAAAAATTTATTCAGAAGCGTATTTTTGACACCCAATATCTCAAAAACGAAGCGTTAAAAGTATATGTTCATAGGAAGTTTTTTCATTATTTCAACGAGTACTATACGCTGTTGAATTTTACGGACCACCCTGTGTAGGCTGATTCATTCACGGTGGATGGCAAAGTAGTCAAAGTACACGTTTCTGGAGAACGCAACGTAGGATATTGTACTAAAAATTTGGTTTCTTGGATAATTAGTTGTGTTCTATCGATCTTAAATATTCTTAACACTGCGATGTTGCCGTTTATATTAAAAAGTATAGCAACAACTTTTATTTTTTTAATGGGACACCCTGTATATCATTCTATTTTCAGATTCTCCGAGCTGATTTCATCGATCTATCACACTTGGGGTCTAGCGGGAATGATAACAATAAAGATATATACGGTGTGAAAAATCGAGATTTTCCAACTCTTCAAGAATTTTTGTGTCGTAACTATTTATAATTGGTCGAAACGGTTTCCATGTCTCTGTCTCAACTTTTTATGTACTATCAATTGATATTTAATTGAAATAGATACAGGGTGGTCAAAAATCTTAATTCTGAACCAACCTGTATTTATTTCAATTATATAAGTATTAATGGATAGTGAACGAAATGTTGGGATAGGGACATGAAAACCGTTTTGACCAATTATGAATAGTTTCGACACAAAAAATTCCTAAAATTGTAGAATCTCGATTTTTCACATCCTATGTAACTCTTTTATTGATTACTGCTAGACCACAAGTGTTATAGGTCAATAGAATCTCATATCAAAAATCAAAGTTGTTGCTACTTTTCAATATAAGCGGCAACGTCGTAACACTGAGAATATTTTAAGTCGATAGAACACAACTAATTAATTATCCAAAGCACCAACCTTTCAGATTAATCCTCAGTTGCGTTCTCCAGAAACGTCTAATGTGCCATCCACCGTGAATCAGCCTGCTCAGTTAACACGGGATATCTTATGGATATTCATTTCAAGTCCTATTCAAGGCGGGATATCCGTGGACATAAAATGTATATCTATGAGATATCCGATTGCGGATGTACTTGAGATATCCGAAACAGAGAGAACAGACGTGAGTGCTTCCCAATTTTTGTTATTTTTTCTATACAGTGTGACCCACTTCTAATGGAAACACGGGTGTGTATAATTTGCGGACTGGAATAAAATGTTGCGGACTGGCTATTTCCATCAAACTTTTCGATGTTTTTATTGCATATCTGGATTCAGCTCACCGATGTACACGATGAGAAGTTTCAGTTTTTCTTCTATGACCCCCCTGGGGAGCACTTTACTCTTGTGTTTTTTCATAAAATCTTGCGGACTGGGTATTTTTGAGAGTCATATCATCTCAATTTCACCATAAATCGATTTATATCATGAAAATACACGATGAAAAGTTTTGGAATTTTTTTCCCTAGCCCCCCTGGGGAGCACTTTACTCTTGTGTTTTTTCATGAAATCTCGCTGATGCTGAGGCGTGTCCTTTAAATGAGCAAAATAAGGTACCAATAAAATATACATTAATTCATGGATGAGAATTATATTCATATATTATATCATGTCAAAACAAAAACAACACATTTAGTACAGAAGTACTATCACACTTTTCATTTTTGTCGTTATTGCATATTTGAAATTTGAAAATATAGATATGTCAAAGTTTGTACAAATATATCAACATATATTCTCATCCATGAATCAATATATTTTTTGATTTCATGAAAAAACACAAGAGTAAAGTACTCCCCAGGGGGGCTAGGGGAAAAATTCAAAAACTTTTCATCGTGTATTTTCATGAGATAAATCGATTTTTGGTGAAATTGAGATGATTTGACTCTCAAAAATACCCAGTCCGCAAGATTTTATGAAAAAACTCACAAGTAAAGTACTCCCCAGGGGGGCTGGGGAAAAATTTCAAAAACTTTTCATCGTGTATTTTCATGAGATGAATCGATTTATGGTGGAATTGAGATGATTTGACTCTCAAAAATACCCAGTCCGCAAGATTTTATGAAAAAACTCACGAGTAAATAAGTACTCCCCAGGGGGGCTGGGGAAAAATTTCAAAAACTTTTCATCGTGTATTTTCATGAGATAAATCGATTAATGGTAAAATTGAGATGATTTGACTATCGAAAATACCCAGTCCGCAAGATTTTATGTAAAAACTCACGAGTAAAGTGCTCCCCAGGGGAGCTAAGGAAAAAATTCAAAAACTTTCCATCGTGTATTTTCATGAGATGAATCGATTTATGATGAAATTGAGATGATTTGACTCTCAAAAATACCCAGTTCGCAAGATTTTATGAAAAAACACACGAGTAAAGTGCTCCCCAGGGGGGCTGGGGAAAAATTTCAAAAACTTTCCATAGTGTATTTTCATGAGATAAATCGATTTATGGTGGAGTTGAGATGATTTGACTCTCAAAAATACCCAGTCCGCAAGATTTTATGAAAAAACACACGAGTAAAGTGCTCCCCAGGGGGGTCATAGAAAAAAATCTGAAACTTCTCATCGTGTATATCGGTGAGCTGAATCCAGATATGCAATAAAAACATCGAAAAGTTTGATGGAAATAGCCAGTCTGCAACATTTTATTCCAGTCCGCAAATTATACACACCCTGGAACCACCCCTGTATCTTACGTAATCGTTGGGTAAGGATCCTGAAATTTGCTGGAGCGAGATATATACCAATCATGCACTCTATGATCAAGTGGGGTCATCTTCAGTGATATATACACTGGTCGCCAACAGCCATGGAACCACCCCAATTTCCGGAAGATGGTATTAGGAGTCAAAATCACTCCGCTTCGCGTCGTTCGTGTCAACGGCAGTCGCGTGCGGGAAAGAATCACTTCCCGCACTTGTTAGGAAAATTGCTATTTCCTTCCATGAAATGAAGATAATGACGTCAATCAAAAATCATTGTGTTTATAAGATAAGGGATCCCACTTTAATCCGAAACATGATGAAAAGCTGAGTTTACCTTTGCCACAGAGCGTACTTCTCAACGTCAAGGGTGAAAGAGCAACTCTTTTTTGAATTGACTCGGCCGTTACTTGATCGAAATCCATAGCAAATGAAAAAATGAAAAATCTAATCGTTTTTGAAGCTTCTTCAAGAGTACCTTTGGTTTTTCCCTGTATAATAATCAAGATATCAGCTTTTTCTAGAATTAAACTTCGTTCGTTCGAGAATTAGGAACAGGATAATCGATTTGGCAAATTTTTTTTGCTGGCCGTTTTTTTGCCTGTGAGAGTATTTTGAATGACATCATATGGAATCCTTCGGTTGAAATATTTCCAATTAGTAATGAAACACCATGTATAGGTATCAACAACTGTTTCACATTTATCTAATATTTTTCAAAACTGGTATCGGGGGGTTTTCGGGATCGAAGATTATGATTCCTTTGTCAAAATTAGGAAATTCAAGATGGTGGATCGGAAATGACGGAAGAGTTTTGTAATATATATCATCATCCGATTCTATTCGGAATAGGTATCAGAGGGTTTCATGGTCTGAAACTATGCTTTTGTCAAAATTGGGAATTTCAAGATGGCGGATCCAATGTGGAGGAGTTTTGTAATTATTATGATCCGATTCTATTCAAGAGTTGTATCTGGAATTTTTTGGGGTCGGAGATTATGATTCTTTCGTCAGAATAATTGGGAAATTCAAGATAAAAATTATGATTCTGTTGACGTATATGAACTTTCAATGGAATCCTCTAGATTTGTGCACTGCCTAATATACAACATTACTAAATGCCAAACAAACTGAGATTGTATCATTTCAATTTTATTATACCTTTGGTTTCGTCTCAATTCGATTTTCAAGTATAACATCTTGTATATTCACCCAATAGCGCCGGAATTATTTTTTCCTTCTTTTCTGAAACTTTATGGCCATCAACTAGTGTGAAATGCTTTCGAAAGACGAGAAAAGTTTGAAGAATCATAAATATGGAATTCAAGTTTTCCAAGAATCTGCTGTTGCCATATGGCAACACTAGGCGCTTCTATACCACCAGCACATGTCGAACACAGTCTTTGTCAAAATCCAGCTATTTTGCATGGCTACGTCTGATACCCAAGTGATTAGGGGCCAGAACGAATTCTTATATGCGGTAATAACTAATATTTTGATCCATCTGATCAGTTTCGCCCATATATACAAATAGTACCACTTGATTACTTTCGAAAAGAACGCATGCCTCCTGGTTTCTTCTGACAAGTGCTGAATAACTTCGTCGTTTCCAGCTCAGTCATCTAATTAGTTGACCCATCTCATATCGGAATGGAAGTATTAGCAGCATTTCGAAGAGAAGATTGTCCGCGGTCAATAGTTCAACATCCATTGGCTCGGCCGGAGAGTCACCACATTCGCTGAGTATAAGCGCCTAGCGTTGCCAAATGGCAACACGAATATTTCATGCAAATTTCATACACAAAAAACATTCCTGCAATTTTTTTCAATATGTCACATATATAACTTGAAGCATGTGCAACATAATTATGGAAACAAAAATCGCAAAATCAAATGCGTGACAACAGGATGATACGTACACGAACGTGACGTCCATGTTCTACGTCAGTTCAAATAAGCTCAAAGTTTCACAAATTTCTGTGGCCGAAACAGCTTACTCACAACAAAGAGATGGCAGCATGTGCTTAACCGGTTCCTTTGTGAATCATGTGGGCTGTCTCTCACCCCAATAGCTAAAAATTTGACTGTCAAGGAATTATTTGAATCTCGCCATCTGCCTAACGTTGCCATATGGCAACGGACGGCGCTAATGGGTTAATATTCAATTTTGCAATTGCAAAGTTGCAATAATTAATTTGAGTGGACTCATATAACTCTTGTTTTGTATTATACTATATTATGTGTATGTGAAATTGCTAAAATTGAGGTAAATAATCGGATTAAAGGATTTTTGATGAATTAACATAATTATATTACAAAAATATAAACTATAATATATATACATCTACATCATCATTCATTTTTACATAAATCTGGTAGAGATGATTCTTGTCCTGTCAATATATTTGCTCTGCCGTTCTATTTCTTGCTGAGATTGTATTTCTACTTTTGTTTCAATATATGTTCAGGAATTGGTAATGAAACAAACTTCAAAGACAATGTACCCACCACAACCTGAAAATCAAAAAAAAAAACACGAATTGGTGTCAAATCCATCAGACAAGTGTCCAATGAAGAATCTACGAATATATTCATTCATACATATCTATGGTTATGCATGATATAATCACAGAAACAAAATAATATTGGCATTTCTTCAAATGGGGTTGTATTATACACAGAATTTACGCCATATGATCGTTTAATGTGATAATAGTTATTTGTTTTACTAGGCATTAAATATTCTTGTCTGACATTTGAAACATATAATTTTTTTCTTCAAATTCTTTTAAATTTCATGCGAAGTCCAAATAATCCATAATTTTTGTTTACCAGTCATTGTCAGTTTTGATTACCAATTTGATTCAAATTAGTACTTGGAACATTGCATATTAACAAACTCTTTCTGCCAAGGCAGTAACCCAGCCAACCATCGTGTGACATCAACATCTGTGTGATGTAACAACCTTATTGCATAAATGCAATATCTCGTTAACACATATTATCGACGTAGATTCGATTTCAACGACGCAAGGTGACATCGCAACCAGGAAACTATGTTATGTGGCAGCGACTTCTTCAAACTACATCTCTTCGACGTTAACTAAATAATTCACATTGATATCCTCATGAGATATCTTCGTGACCTGTGAGTGTGACGCAGACATGCGCAAAACGAACGCACACGCCAGGCGCCATGTTGAGCTGTGCATGGCCATGTCAGTCAGTCAGTCAGTCAGTGAGTGAGTCCGACTCCGTACAGACTATTTCCTTCCAAATTCTCTGTTGAAATATCTGAGATGATTTTAAGCACATATTATAGCAGCTTCAAATTGGAGGTATACAATCATTTAGGAACGACGGTGAGTTCAATCACAATAGGTAATATTGTAATTATCTCTGAGATACGAATATTGCAATCTAAAACAAGGTGGATGAAAGATTCCAAGATAATGTAAGTGTATTTGATATGTATCATTTATGAATAATGTATATTTGTATTGCTATATATATATATGTCATGTTTTACTTATAGATTACTAATTAGGGTTAGGGTGATTGTCATGAAGTTTTGTATCATCTGTTTTTACTTTCCGAAAATAAACATTTTCTTCGTAAAGTTGAATAATTATTATTATTATATATCCCACGAATATCACAGGTACGGCGACCACATCATCGATGTCGCAGTGTGTGATGTATTTGTAATATGAAATGTACACTTTGTATGTGACCTGGTAGTGATTTTTCATGTGATGTCGCATTTCATGTCTGAACGACGTTACAGTGATGTTGCTTGAGTCGGACATTTTCACATCGCCACGTTGTATCGGTAACATGTTTATGACTTCAAATGCGATATCGCATGTCACAAAGTGATGTGGCGTATACATCTCATGGTTGGCTGGGAAGAATACACTTTGTATGCCTGTTAAGTGTCATTTTGAGCCACTTTTAATGTCATTTAAAGAACATAGTATTTAATACAGTCAGTGCCGGATTTAGGGGGGGGGGGGGCTATGGGACTATCAGCCCCCAACGGTGAATTTCAAGAGGCGGTAGAGAAAAAGGAAGCAGCAATACAGCCGTCGCCGACGAGGCGATAAATATATTATATTGCTTCTTGCTTGTTATATGCCGCCTCTTCAGTCGCCTTTTGAAGCAATCGCGCATATAGCTACCGCTGGCATCGCATTAGAAGGACTTGGATGAGATACTGTTTTTGAGAAAATCATAACATGCACTAATCTAGCGTCAGCTGTGCCTTGGACGCTACAATACAAAAGTGGCAGCAGTACATACTCTCATTTGATGACGAGGAAAAAACCGCCTTCTACTCAGTAGAGTAGGGGTAATTTCGTGATTCGTCTAACTCAATAACAATAAACAAAATCAGTATTTAATAGGTTGTCGGTGGTATTGTTGGTAATGGTACTAATAATAAATAAATATTGAAACTGAAATTTAATAAAATCTGGTTGTTTTCTGGTATGATATATTAGAGAGAGCAGATCAAGTCAGCAAGTCCCTGCAAAACTCAAGCATAGGCCTGGACACGTGTCTCAGTTTATATATTTCGTTGATGGCGCTTTTGCACGAATACAAGATCACAGATACTTTTTGCAACGTGGAAGTAGCTCTAAGAATTTTCCTATCCCTGATGATTAGTAATGCCAGTTGTGAAAGGTCATTCTCAACTTTAAAAAGAGTGAAAAAATACGTTAGGAATTCCATGGTAGAGGATACATTGAATAGCTTTTCGATTTCAAGTATTAACAGTGACATGTTATTAAATCTGAACTTTGATGATGCCATTGACGACTTTGCATCAAAAAACTCAAGAAAAGTATTTTAGTATTCATCTGAAAAAAAATTTGTCTTTTGTTGTTATGTTTAACGTGTGAAATAAATATAATTTGATTCGTTGTACATAATGATTTCATCTTATTGTTATATGCTGTAAAAAACGCAGTGGAAGGATTATTCGAATTTTGAAACTGACAATTGAAATTTAATATTTGGCGGCGGCGCGGCGGCATCGTAAAAGTTAGCCCCCGGCGTAAGGAAGCATAAACCCGGCACTGAATACAGTCATGCATTATTCAAAATCATAAATTTTTTTTTAACAATCAATATAATCCCTTTAAAAACCGTACTAGTAATTAGAAACATCAATTGTTTACTGAAATAGGCCACTTTTTTCCTAATTGAATGTCAATAATAGTAGTAGAAAATAAAAAAATAGAGCCATGTAATAGGATATCATCAAATTTATATGAGCTAGAATAGTAGGAAATATTCGTTTTCCAATTGCAATAAAAAAAGCAAAAATACACATCAATATAACTTACTTGGTTTACAATGACTTCCATCGAGGTAATGACACCACCAGGACCATCCATAATCCCTATAAATGTATTCTTTTCAGTATTATAAACATAAACGTTGCCATTGTGACAACTAGCGAACAAAAGTCGACCGAAAGTTTTGAGGCAACCGATTCCCTTCGCAATGGCTGCCTTCAGTTTATGTTCTAATCGCCCATTCTGAAAATAAATGATATATGATTTCCTGAAGTCTCGCCTGAAGTGGGATGATCAAGAAGAGAAAATTTCTCAAGTAAACGCAAATTATCCTGCTTCAACATGTTTTGAGACATGTTTTCGACTAGATTCAACGGATGGTATTAGTTAGATAAGAGTTTGGAAACAGAAATTACAAATGTTAGTGTTTTAGATTTATTAAGTTACACACAAAATAGAAGATTTTACGATTAGTTCGGGAGAAACTGCTGTTCCATTATTTGACAAAACAGACTATCTAATATTATCATCACACAAAATTATCATTGATTGCGAAACTACGTTATGAAATTGAAAATTTGGGAATGAAACTGAGGAAATCAAGTAAATTGTAACGTTATATATCATTGAATGGCGTTTAAAATACCGAACAAATTTAAAATGTATTAGTTAAAAGAGAAATGCAGCAAATGGTGGAAAATCAAAATCATCTTCATGTCTTAAACTTTATCACTCGGGTACAGTTTTACATACAATAAGGAACTATAGCTTTAAGTATATCCATATGTTTTTATTTTGTTATATTAAAACGTTGTTAAATGCACCCCAATAAACTTAGCAGAACCACTTCTATATTTCGGATTTGCAATAGTACTATAATTTGTTACTAATTTAGTACTAATTTATTATCATATTCGCTAATTTATTACTCATCATTAAACAGAAAAAACCAACGGCTCTGCTAGCTTTATGTCAACCTAGCAGAACCATAGCTGAAAATGTAATATTTTGAAAATTTTAAATATACCATAATTTATAACTATTTTATTACCAACTTATGACTATAATCACGAATTTTTTACTCATCATTTCAAGGAAAAAAGGACGATTTGACTATCTCGATCTCAACCTAGCAGAACCAAAACTCAAATCACATGTTTTTTCAAATTCTGTTGTATCATCGATAAGTTACTAATTTATTACTAGTTTATTACTAATTTATCACCACATTCGCAAATTCCTAACACTTCATTCAACAGGGAAAACCAACGGCTCTGCTATCTTTATGTCATCCTAGCAGAACCATAGCAAAGAATTTACTATTTCGATCGAAAACTCTCGATACACCATTACGAACTTATGACTATATTCACAAATCTTTACTGATCATTTCTAGAAGAAAACGTTTATTTGACTATATCGATCTCAACCTAGCAGAACCAAAACTCAAATCACATGTTTTTTGAAATTCTATTGAATTATCAATTAGTTGTTAATGCATTACTAATTTATTACCAAATTCGTGCGATTATGTTAATAAGTTAGTTATAAAATAGTAATAAATAATGGTATATTTGAAGTTTTCAAAACATTATTGTTTAGCTATGGCTCTGCTAGGTTAACAGAAAGCTAGCAGAGCCGTTGGGTTTCCTTGTTGAAAGAAGTTTTAGAAATTTGCGAATGTGGTAATAAATTAGTAATAAATCAGTAACTTATATCAATAATACAACAGAATTTCAAAAAACATGTGATTTGAGTTTTGGTTCTGCTAGGTTGAGATCGAGATAGACAAGTCGTCGTTTTTTTCCTTGAAATGATGAGTAAAAAATTCGTGATCATAGTTATAAGTTAGTAATAAAATAGTTATAAATTATGGTATATTTAAAATTTTCAAAATATTAAATTTCCAGCTATGGTTGTGCTAGGTTGACATAAAGCTAGCAGAGCCGTTGGTTTTTTCTGTTTAATGAAGAGTAATAAATTTGCGAATATGATAATAAATTAGTAATAAATTAGTAACAAATTATAGTACTATTGCAAATCCGAAATATTGGAGTGGTTCTGCTAAGTTTATTGGGGTGTTAAACCCATTCTTTTCATGTTTATAACTGTTGTTCTTCGAAAAATGTATCGCTATGAATTGAAGTGGGTGTTATACCCTATTTCTATTTTCCATCTACGACTATGATTAATTTGACAAAAAATCTAACCTCTAAAATCATATCTGACAATCAGGCGCTATTATGGAAATTAAAAAGACAAAAAGCAGAATATATGTCTTATTATTTTCCATGTTCTCACAGTTAGAAACTGCACAAACTTGCATCTTTCTCCTTATTCTCTGAATTTGTCAAACCTTTGAAATTTATGTCATGTACGTTCGTATACTGTCAGTTCCCACTTTTTCCATCAATTTATTTGTATTTATGTCTGATTGTCAGTGCTTGTCATAGTGTCCGTACTCTGATATACAAAAAACGTCAAAATCAGCAGTGTCAAGTACATTTAGCAACTCTAGTTTCGACCATTCAAATGACCATCGGTCAGAATACATGAAGTGAATGTAAAACTAGCTACAACATCTTGTATTTTGACTGATGGTGGTTATTTTGATGGTCGAATACTAGGGATCTTGTTAGGTAGTGGAGATCAAGTATACAAAGTCGGTTGAATCAGAAACATATTGTTTTTCTACAATCGGCTCAAAAGTCGTCCATTTTCGGTCCAAAATTAGATCTTGAAGTTGACGTTCCTCTTACTGGCACAATGAAATTGATAGTATATATGTTGCTAGCCAAAAAATGAAGTTTGACTCCTAGGAACTAAAAACGTGTCGGATAACTACTTTGACACTGACATGCTCAAGTGACTCAAAATAGTGGTTTTTTCACTCATGTTTTATCAATCAGATATCAATTATCTCGATTGCAGAAAAAATAGCATGTTTAATTCGGATCAAAAGTGACTGTTTGACTCGCAAAATTTGCTTGTCATACAAAGTGTCACATTTGATCCTAATAAATCAATGAACATCATGAGAATTATAAAATAAGAATGAATGTTCTTTTTTCTGTAACTCCGCTGATTGAAATAGAATGTGTTATGCCAAATAAAACTCACAGAATGCAATGTCTAATTGAGAAAAAAGTTGATTGCAATATCAAACTGTCAATATTAGATTCTATTTGGTAGTTTGATTTCGAAATTAGCTTATGTCACAAGATGAATGATCAATCTTTCAATAAGGCTCTACATTCAAGTAAAACCTAGTTTACCTAGAATATAAACCTTTCAAATGTATGCAAATGCAAAATGCAATTGACAGATATCTTGATTGCAGTATGGAATATCAATAAAAGTTTGATAAATAGATATTGATCTTGCAAGCTTGATGGCCAGATAGCTTGGTTCCAAAATTAACGTCTATTCTCAAGATATGCATTTTAATTGCAAAATTATTCTGTCATTTGAAATTTGATTGTTCAGATTCATCAACATAATTTTGTTGAGCTATATATTCATAAAATTGGGCTGTGTATTGGCTGATAGCTTATTGATTGCAATATTTGGCTCCATTTTCAAGATGAATCCAGCTTATTTACAAGATAAAATCTTTTAATTGAGCTCTATTTGCGATTTGCGATCAATATTAGACTTTAATTGATAGATTGATTTTACAATCAGCTCAACTCACAGATAACTCCTTTGTAAGCTTATTCTGTCAATCTGCGCAATTGGAAGATTAATCATGTAATAAACTCAATTGCAAAATGAACACAAGGAATTCCTAGAAACTTCAAGGAAATCAAAGTAATTCCAAGGAATTCCAAGCAAATCCAAGAAATTCCTAGGAATCCCAGTTGTGTTTGTGCACTAGAATTATATCGCACTTCACCCAAATAATTCCAAGAAGATTTAGAGAATTCCAAGGAAATCCAAAGAATTCCAAGGAATTCTGAGGAAAGCCAAGGATCTCCAAGAAATACCAGTTGGTTGTAGACCTGGAATAAACCGCACTTCACCCAAGGAATTACAGGAAATTCCAAGGAATTCCAAGAAAATCCAAGGAATTCCAAGGAAATCCAAGGAAATCCTAGGAATTCCAAGGAATTCCAAGAAAATCCAGAGAATTACAAGGAATTCCAGTTGTATGTAGACCTGGAATATTCCGCACTTCTCCCAAAGAATTCCAGGGAAGTCCAAGAAAATCCAAGGGAATCCAAGGAATTCCAAGAAAATCCAAGAAATTCCAAGGAAATCCAGAGAATTCCAAGGAATTCCAGTTATTTTTACACCAGAATTCCGCCGCGGTTTACCCCTTGTTTAAAAATGAAAATTTCATTAGGTACTCACATGGAAATTGAAGACGAGAATATCTAGGTTAGTCGTTCCACAATACACCATATTGTTCTGGATCACTAATGAATACACGGTGGGACACACCAAATCCTGCATGGTCCTCAAATGCAATCCGTTGATGGCGTCTCTGATGACGACAGGTGAATTTCTCGACCCTATCAAGAGTACCCTTCTCGCCCCCTCTTGTGTCGCTTTCAGTACGAAAATGCAATCGTCGTAGAATTTGTCTTCATATTCGATAGCCCTCTTCTATAAAATTACGATGGCTTCAAAAGGATTATTGCAGTGGCGTGTTTAGAATCTCGCTTTAGGGGGGGGGCGAGGCAAAAATAAAAAATGTTGCCAACATTTGTCGTGATTCATTGACCGATATAATTAAACAACACCAGAACAACCATTCTTTTTTATTTTGGCTAAGCAATGGACAAACATGGAAAATAGCATGCTTATAAATTTTTTTAGATCAATTATTTCAACCTGACCAGTCTTCGAGGCTCATTCGTCTGGCTTTACTTGTGGCGAGCCTATTTCAATATTCAAATCAACTTCTTTGTGAATATTAAGTAAAGTTACCATTCAATCGCTCTTCACCCATGGTTGACCTCAAGTGGGTTTTCAGGCGCTTTATGGTTGAAAAGCTCCTTTCCGCTGTTGCCGTTGATACAGGTACAGTCACAAATATTTGCAGTAAAATCTTTATTGCAGGGAACAAACTCGCCCCAAAACAAAATGCTTCGATTGCTGTAGAGGGCAAATCTGGTTTATTTGTCCATCTTTTTTGCCACATTATTATTTTAGCTCTCAGTTCTTGTTTTGATATGACTCGAGATTACTCATGCAAAGTAACCACCGCCACCAACTACCTAACTCAGCGACTCTACAGTCTACAGCTAACTGAACACTCTGAACACTAAACGCTGATCATTTGGCAGCCACGTGATCGCCTCCGATTATATGAACGAAAACGGGCGAAGAGAATAATATTCTTCTTCTCAACTGTTCGTTGGATCCACTTCAGGTATGAACTAACGATTCGACGAGTTTTTCAGTGCATAAAATATTCACACCGTGTAGCATAAAACAATCATCATATATTAATAATTAAATGGTAGATTAAATAAGACTGGATGAACCGTCATTTTCGTGTTTTTTTATTCGAGTGTATCCTGCTTTGGGGGCGGGGGGCGGTACCCTCTGCCCGCCCCCTTAAACACGCCACTGGATTATTGAATACAGTAAGATACTTAGGTAAAAACTTAAGTGAACTTTTGAAGACCATGATTAGATAACCGGGTATTGAATATACCCAAAATACCATATTGATATTTAAAAAATCCGTATTCCGGCAACTTAGTTGCCTCAGTAGAACTGAAAATAAAATGATGATTCTCTGACTCTACCGGGTGATTTTTCAAGGTGGCTTCACTTCCGGTTTGACCGGCATGAGCCCAACTTTCGATTTTTAAATGGTTCATCCTGTATAGTTTCACTTATTTCGATCGTAAATATCATTCTAAGACAACCAATACCTCACTTGTTAATATTTAACAAATGAAGTATGAAGTCATTTTTATTTTGATTTTTAATTTTCGATCTAGAATGCCATGCCATGGATCATGTGAATCGCTTTACTCTTGATCAAATATCATGGAAAAATATGACATTGAGGCTTATTAGGACTTCACTGTCGTTTCAATAATCATTTGAAAGCCGCAAATATGATTTTTCCCAGTTAACTTGATTTTTCCAAATGGAAAGGGAAAGCTCATCGGTTTTCTGTGACAGATCATTTTCTTACGAATAATGTGATACCACAAATATAAAGGGTGTCCCATTCCAAAAAGGAGCCCACATTTCCAGTCAAACCGGAAGTGACGCAAGGCAAGTAAATATGTAAAAAAATGAAAATTGAACTATAGTAGGTACACAACCCCCAAAGCCTTTTTCCATCTTCCATCTAATATAAAAGTTATGAGGGGAGCCACCTTGAAATATCACTCCAAGTTAGTTGCCTCAGTAGAACTAAAAATGAAACAATGATTCTCTGACTATATACTCTGTACTACTATTCGTCATTTGAAAACTAGTCCATTGAATTTAGGATTTTGATAGGAAATAATTCATACAAAGGGTTTCTTGAATAGTTCCTCTATGATAGCGACTATGCGCAACAATTTGCAACACTGTAAAGATGCTAAAGAACGGTTTCTCTGATTTTTCTACGTAAATATTAGTTTTACGAAAACAATACCTTTTCACAAAATGAAAGAGGTGATACTTTTACACAAGAAAGTCCAATGAAATTTTTTGCCCGGTCCATATTTTTCATGCTGATCGCCGTTCGAATTTAAAAAAATAATAAAAATCCTGTTCTCACTGATTTTCATGTATTATAGGGATCATATAATATATTAGAATAAGGCTTATTACTTGTAAGAAGTTTGTGTAAATAATATTTATATTAATTCATACTAGAGGACATTTGAATCGGTGAACGTGACAACACGGCGCACGACTTGTGGGCGTAGTCTTGTCAGTTCTCAGCATTCAGCACAATGTTGCCAAGTCTCAAACATTCACATGATATTTTGTCATGGGGAATAAGAAATATTTGGACATGTTGGTTGCTCGAAATAGTCAAGAATGGACTATAACATCATGGGTTCCTCCTATTATGTTTTATTCAACTACAGGTTGCGTTTTATTTGTTCCATTCTGGTAACGGTGGTAACAACAGAATGACGTTCCCAAATGAAACGACAAACAGATGACCTTGCATGAGATCGAGAATTGACATATTTCATATTATAGATGAATGAAGAGGTTACATTCATGTATTAGTGCTAGATTGGGGCTCCGAATAATTTCGAAATAATAATACTAGAGTTAAAATCAAGAAAATGATCAACGCATATTTGGAGCAGCGATTGGAATGGTTGGATGAAGTTCTCCGAGATCGAGAGAATTAATTTCATCTGGGAATAGAAGTACTGAACTGTCTTACTTGAAATAATCATAAACTTGTGACCCTCACGTTAGAAATACTTTCTAAAAGTTTCGTTTTTATTCAGTCCAATTTAATTTTTTGACTACTGTCAACAGTCATTCCACATCATTCATTCCTTGTAGGGAGACGGAATGAAAAGTAGCAGCTGGAATCAGAAAAGTTTCAAATAAAACGACACAATGAAGTGATTCCGGTGGCAGAATCGGATAAATAAAACGCAACTTTTGATAACTTGATTATAATTGGTGAATTGACAACCTTGCTTCATGAGTGGAAATGGAAAATTATCTGACGAATAAGGAAACAGCATAAAAACTGACGTCAACATTTATTCGACGTATCGCCAAATGGCGGCCATGACGGTTCGTTTGAAATGAGCTCTGTTCAACAATTTTGAACAACGCATAGACACATTATTTAAGTAAAAAAAATGTGAGAAATGTTGCAAAAATTAATTTAGGTCCCTAACGACACAGTGGAGTAATTGAATACCAATAATCCATTATCAGTCCACTCACCTATTTGAAGATGAGTTAAATAGTCACTTTCTTGTGATATTTTATGTATACAGAGATATGCACAAAAACCGGCCAGGACTGTAACTTTTGAATTATTCCAGATAGGGTTTTGAAAATTGGTGGGCAGCTAGTTTACCAATTTGCTCATCAATTGACGAAACAATTTTTGTTCTATCACTTTCGGTTTTACTGGAAATGACTCCAACTTCTGGTTCTTAAATAGGACACCCTGTATGGTATTCCATAATCGGTTAGGGATTGTTATAACGAATTCATCGGTACGTGGTTTGATAGGGTTATTTCAAACGATCACGCAGATATTCGCGTTCTAATATTGAGAAGTCACTTCCATTAAGCATATGAAAACTGCGAACGCAAATATCTTTGTAATTGTTTGAAATAACTCTATCAAACCCGATATCGTTGAATTTGTTATGATAATCTCTAACTGATTATGGAATACAACACAGAGTGTGTAAAAATCAAAAGTTCAGGTCGTTTCCGGTGAAACTGTAAGTAATAATAATAATAATAATAATAATAATAATAATAATAATAATAATAATAATAATAATAATAATAATAATAGCTCTATCCAGACCATTCTGTGGAATTGGTCATCCTGATAATCGGCTCCCTAGGAGGCACACGACACACGCTGCTCTCGGAGATCCAGAAAATCCCAGCGTGCCGTGATAAGGCACACATCCTGGCTGGTGGAATGCAGAAGGTCGTCATACTGGGATCATTGCGTCTACTTAGGGCACACGGTACTTGGTCCCAGTGATTACTCACCTCACAGGCTGTGAGGAGTAGTCACTGGATTTTATCCAGCACGACTCTGCGTGACGTCGGAGGCCGCAGGGTCGTGACTGGAATTATATGAACTAAATAATAATAATAATAATAATAATAATAATAATAGGACTTTATTAGGCGAAAGTTTAGCTACAAAGAGCTATTCTTACACTTTAACCTAGGTACATATATGTATAAATAGTAGGTGTTACAAGGTATTTTCCAAGAAAACAAACTAAATCATATTTCTATTCTTAGATATAACTCTTCACTTTTCTACTTTTTGAATTGTGGAAATATTAGATAAATGTAGAAGTAATCTGTGCAGCTAGGTAGACTGTGTTCTTTGTTCATCAAGGATTTTATTTTTCAGCTTCATTCTGAATGACTTCATACTCAGTTTTTTAACATTGTCATGTAGGTAAAACATTATAAATAAGTGGTAGTTGGTAGGAGAAAGATGCTTTAAATTTACTGGTGGAGTAGTGTGGGATGTTCACAGTAGCAAGATTCCTTATATTGAGGTTATGCAATTGATGACGAAATATTATTTTTTCATAAAGGTAATATGGACGTTTCTCGTTGATAATTTTATGGAAAGCAGTAGTGGCATGTAGAAGACGACGTTTTTTCATGCAAAGCCAGCCAAGAGATGAAATATATTCAGTGATATGATCAGATCTTCGCAAGCCCCAAATCAGTCTAGTGCAGTTATTTTGCATTTTTGAATTCGATAACAGTCAAAGGAGTCGATACATGGACCATATACTATATCGCAATAGTTGAAATTAGATAAAACTAGTTGATCACACAGTTTCTTCTTTAAATCAAAAGACAGAAATTGTCGACTTGAGTACAGCAATTTAAGACACCCGTAAGCACGCTGAATAGATTTGCTGACGTGTTCCGAGAATTTCAAATTAGAGTCAATAATTAAACCTAAGTTTTTGGTTGCTGATACTAGTGTTAAAGTGACACCTCCTATGACTATGTTGATATCATTCTTCACACGATTAATTCGACATTCATTGCCAAATAATAAATAAGTGGATTTTGTGGGATTAATATGAAGATTATGTTGCTTAGAGAGGTTGATAATTCTTTGTAAATCTTTGTTGACGAAATAGTTAGCTAAATAGGCATCTTCGGGATAAAAACTATAATATAATTGGCTATCATCAGCATAGAAGTGGCTTCTACAATCTGAAAGGCAATTAGATAATTCAGCAGTATATATAAGGAATAAAAGTGGTCCCAGAATCGATCCCTGAGGTACACCATTATGTAATCTGAGTGATTGAGATTCGATATTGTTATTTTTGACTATTTGACTTCTTCCACTCAGGTAACTTCGAAAGAAGTTTTGTGCTGTCAAGTTCAACCCATAATATTTCAGCTTAGAAAGTAGAAGTTGGTGGTTTAAAGTATCAAATGCTTTCGTGAAATCTAACATTACCAAAGCTGTAACTTTATGGTTATCCCATTCTCTGATAATATCATCACATATATTTAGCATTGCCGTGGCAGTGCTGTATCCCTCCCTGAACCCTGACTGCTGAAAAGGAATGATGAAATTTGAATTACAGTAATCGTAGAGTTGCTTGTACACGATTTTCTCTAAGACTTTGGATAGAATTGGGAGGATGCTAATAGGACGAAGATCTGAAAAACTATTAGGCTCGCCGTTTTTAGGAATAGGACGAATTAGTGCTATCTTCCAAGATGATGGAAAATAACCTTGCTCTAAGCAGAGGTTAACAATATGTGTGATTGGTAATAAAACTGCTGGCAAACAGTATGATATCATAGTCCGAGATAGTGATAGAAGAAAAATTGTTCCATCAATTAATGAGCAATTTAGTATACTTGCTTCCCACCAATTTTCACATCCCAACTAGAATAATTCAAAAGATACAATCATGGCCGTTTTTTGTGCACTTCCCTGTATATACTTACCTTCATCGAATACCTAAAAATGGATCCTTTCGACCCGCCTATAAATAGGTAGTCCCAATTACATTCCATGCACTGCGCATTCTCGCTTAGCTTGATGGTCCTCAACAAACACTGGCTGTAAAAGTTGTACACTTTGAGGAAGCCATCGAATGATCCAACGCAAATGTGCATCTTTTCGTCCGGCGCTTGCAGACAAACGAGACAAGAAATCGGCTTTTTCGAGACCTTCAAATTATTAATATGGCGACCGTCTTCCAAGCTGAAGAATACAATATTGCCGCTTTCTGTCGCAGCCATCAGCTTGTCTTCGAAAACCTGTGGGAGAACCATCATTGTAGTTCAATATAAGAAATGATGAAGTTTAATAATATGTCTTCTAGTTGTATTAAAATAGTTTGATTTCAATAGGGAAGTTTCCTATATTGAGGTTCTTATCTGACTGTGAAGTTTGTAAAAAATTGATATATACGTTTTTTTTTTTCGTGAGATCCAATTTCACTTCAGAAAAAAATAAATAAGAGGAACTTGGCTCATCCACCATTCCTATGACGCACTTTCTGAAAATCCACATTCACAAAGAGTTAAAATATGATTCCCTGTGCCAGTACGACGTTGCCGACATCATCAATATGTTTAGATTTCCGGAAATTGTTCTTTGAATGCATAATAACCATAGTGGAAGAAGAAGATGGTGTCCCTACGCGCATATTATGTGACGTCATCTGGGATACCAATATCAGCTGCTAGTCATAGACAGATACCATTGCCATGGGCGTGCGCAATGAATTCAATCATGTTCATTGAAATTTCTCGATCTGTTCAGAAATAATTCAATTTATATAAACAGGTACCTATTCCTTTGATTTTACTATTTCATTGATTCTGGAAATCGTGATCTTGAGGTAATTCGCAATCGCAAATAGCAAATACATAAGAATTATCATGCATTGCCAATCCCATCTGAATGATCCACTATGTTATATGTTCAGAATATATGTTATTTATTAACATATAGAGAGTTGTAATATTATATTATATAAAATTACGACAGTACTTGATTGACAATTCAATCAATAATCATCACCTAAGTATTATCATAATACCGAGTGTATTATGTAACACACTACTGTGTCGATTCTGACAGATTAAAATTCAGCAGTTAACGACGTTGACGTTGCCTCTGCTCCGACATCGACACCAGGAGTATCAATTTTTGCCGTTTTGTTATTCAAATCTTTGCTGCAATTTATATTTTGTGAGGAATTAAGAGTTTTGAATTCATATTCAATTATTTCTGACTTGATATTCGGAAGATGTTCTGTAGGAATGGCAACTTGTTTCAAATATTTGTGATTTTTTGGAGGTGTGTAATTCAAGACCCGTACTTTCGCACTTGTTTGGGAACATTTTGCATGGAAGTATTTTGAAGAAATACGTGCTTTAATATGAATGTGATGATAATATGATAGGTGAATACTTTGGAATGACGATATAAGGAATAAAAGGTAGGTACCATAATTTGAGTTTATATTCTGTCGGCAGCAAGCTCTCGTTTCATTAGGTCTCCATTCTTGGAAAAGCAGAAAAATTCAATATTTGTGCCTTTTGTACGTTAGTTTGAATTTCCATAACCAGAAACGAAACAAGTAGGCATTTCGAAATTATTTCATTCAATTTTAGTACTTATATAATATCTGAAGTTCGAGACATCAATCACGAAAACAAATAATAACAATGACAGTTATATCCCAGCTGACGTCATGCGCAGAACAAGACGAGTTTGAGCTTTCTGTTGAGCACACCATCTTCTCCTTCCACTATGATAATAACTATATCATAACAGCAATGGGATATAATAGGTTATTCAATCCTACTTTGTCAAGTATTGTGAATAATTCCCATAAATCTCTCATTGGCTGAGTGAAGTTGATTACTAATGAAGATAAATTATGATACTTTGTGATTGTATCTATAATTTTCCACAATCGTTATATTACAATATGTTATTCATAACTTGTCCGTCATTTTCTTGCTAATGAATTCGTTCCTTAATAAAACGGATCTATTTTCTAGAAAAGTTGCAGATTATATCTTGCAATAGCGCATAATACTTCGAGTCCGTTCACACCACTACAAATTTCTTACAGACACAACAAGAGGAAAGAGCCATTGGTGTCGGCTTCATTCTGTTCTGACCGATGACAGTAAATCAGGAAGGATAGTATCATTGAATGTAGCCGATAGCGATTCATTGATTCAATGATATGTTCGTATAGGATCGAGCTCAATTCGAGATATTTCAATGCATAAATAACAAAAACTATATCCTGTCAGAATGAAGCCAACTACCCTCTGAATCCCTGCGATTGCATTTGTGGTTATGTATGTTTGGATTACTTTCTTCTTTAATTTTTTTCATTCGTTTTTCATTCGGTAGCTATTCGCTAGGTCTATTCTTCACTAGATTCAGATTCAGACGATTGCTTTAATTTGAAAATGAAAACGACTTGGACTTTATCGGTCGCTATTCTGTACAGCGTGGACATAAAACTGGAGAGTTCAGAAACTTATTTTATGGAAATTCATCTGAAGGAAACTTCCCCATTCAATTTAGTCGATTGAAATTGAGAAAACATCAATTATTATTCAGAGAGAGTCATTTGTACTTTGAATAGGTCAGTTTTGATTCAGAATGAGTCAATCATAATGATGTAGTTAATTAATATACAGAAAGCAAGCATTGTGAATCAGAATACATGGATTATGATTTAGAGAATGTTCTTTGTAATCCAGAATTTGTCGAATTGAGTCAGTTTTGATTCGAAATAAGTCAATCCTAATGCCAATTGAAATTCAGAAAGCAACCATTTCAAATCAAAATACAGGATTGTGATTCAGAGAGCATTCTTTGTAATCCAGATTTCATCAGATGTAATCTATGATGCGTCAATCTCAATTCAGTTCGGTCAATTAAAAGTCTGAAATCGTAAATTCATCTTTAGATTAGACAATTGGTATGCAAAAACCATAAATTATAATTCAGAGATAATTCAGAATAAGTCAATTATAATGATGATTAGTTAATTAAAATACAGAAAGCTAGCATTGTAAATCAGAATACATGGATTATGATTCAGAGAACGTTCTTTGTAATCCAGATTGAGTTGGTTGAAATTCATGATACGATAATCTTAATTCAGTTCCGTTAATTAAAATTTTGAAAGAGTATATTTTTATTCAGATTGGACCATTGGAATCCAAAAAACACATATTATAATTCACAGAGCGTCACTTGTCAAATTGAGTCAGTTTTGATTCAAAACAAGTCAATTCTAATGCCTATTGGTCAATTGAAATTCAGAAAGCAACCATTTCAAATCAAAATACAGGATTGTGATTCAGAGAGCATTCTTTGTAATCCAGATTTCATCAGATGTAATCTATGATGCGTCAATCTCAATTCAGTTCGGTCAATTAAAAGTCTGAAATCGTAAATTTATCTTTAGATTAGACAATTGGTATGCAAAAACCATAAATTATAATTCAGAGATAATTCAGAATAAGTCAATTATAATGATGATTAGTCAATTAAAATACAGAAAGCTAGCATTGTAAATCTGAATACATGGATTATGATTCAGAGAACGTTCTTTGTAATCCAGATTGAGTTGGTTGAAATTCATGATACGACAATCTTAATTCAGTTCCGTTAATTAAAATTTTGAAAGAGTATATTTTTATTCAGATTGGACCATTGGAATCCAAAAAACACATATTATAATTCACAGAGCGTCACTTGTCAAATTGAGTCAGTTTTGATTCAAAACAAGTCAATTCTAATGCCTATTGGTCAATTAAAATTCAGAAAGCAACCATTTGAAATCAAAATACAAGGATTGTGATTCAGAGAGTATGATGCGTCAATCTCAATTCAGTTCGGTCAATTAAAATTCTGAAACATATTTTTATATTCGGATCAGACAATTGGTATTCAAAAAACATCAATTATAATTCAAAGAGCTTCATTTGTAATACAATTTGGGTTCGTTTTGATTCAGAATGAGTCAATTATAATGCTGATTAGTGATGCGACAATCTCAATTCAGTTCAGTCAATTAAAAATTTGAAAGCGTAAATTATATTCAGATTAGACAATTGGAATTTAAAACATCATTGTTAATGCATCATTTTTAATTCAAATTGAGTCAGGTTAGGTTAATGATATTCAGTTGAGTAATTCTGAATAATTTCATGCATTTACCTTCAGATCTAAGAAACTTTCCTTCATTTCTTTGAATACCAACATATTTTGAACAGGTACTTGTGGTTCAATCAACCTATTAACAGGTGCATCGGAGCAACTACTTTTTTCGACAGTCTCTTCAATTTCTACAACTGATGAGTTTGGATTTGAATTATCGTCCGTCAAGTTATTCTTTCTTTTTTTAACTATCATATCCACTTTATCACTTGCTTCTGTGTCTACTATTGATACATTCGATTCCTTTTCGACAGAGTTTTTCCGTTTCTTGGCAACCCTTTCTTCATTCTTCTTGTTTTCATTTTTCTTACTTTTTCCTTTTCTCTCATTCTTGACATTTCTTTTTTGGATTATTACAGGTAATCTTTCCACTGCTATATATTTACTGAGAATTTTTTTTCGATAGTCGATTAGGTCAGATATATAATCATCTATGTAAGACATCCGCCTCACAGCCACATTTATAGTACTTGGAGGTTTGGGAAACGCTTGTTTCAAAAAAAATTTCATACTCATTCTACGTTTTTTCAAGGTTTGTGTAGAAGCTTCGGAATATTCACGGGCTTTGAGGACCTCCATCACCTCATCTTCTTTTATCATCACTTCGTCGGTACCCAAATTCAAAACACTGAAATCTTTTTTATCTTCACAACTTTCTTCACATTCTTTTTTCAATTCTAAGTTATATTGACTCTCATTGTAAATATCTTCTTTCCTGATTTCTACAATATTTTGGTTCGCCTCGTCTGTTTCCTTGGGAATATGTAACTCAGTAGAGCTACTAGGTTCTTCAATATCTGACATATTATTAATGTCCAATCTTGACTTCTGAGATTCATTATGCACAACCGCTTCAAAATCTCTCATATCATTGCTGACTGGATTTGAGATATTATTTCCAGGATTTGTTTGATTACTTTCTGTATTTGCTGTTTCATTAGTTGACTGACTAAAAATACATTTATCTGATGTGAAATCAGCTCCAATTTTTGGATTGACATTGCTGATTGAAGTAGATGGTTGCAGTTGATGACTATCTTTTGTATTCATGATTTCGTTGCATTGATCTGAAGAATAATCATCATATATCGTTGTGTTAGTGGTGCTGATTGGTTCATGAATTTCTGGAATATCTTCTTTGACCTCTGATTTTACATTGTGTGATAATTCTTCATTGTGGCTTATTTCCTCAGAAAATTGATGTACGTTGGGGTTTGCTGATGAGACATTTTCAATCCATATTATATCATCATTTTTGAACGGAGATGATAAATTATCTTCAGTAGCTCGTACCCTACTATCAAAAGCCTCATTATACAACTGCTCGGTTGGATCTATTGCATCGACATTAAAATGAAAGAAATTGGGTGGAGGAACATTACCAGTATCGGAGAATTCATTACTGGTTGTTGGAAAATCATATAAGTTGTCATAAGCAGGTGGTTGACACATTTCTGCAAAAAAAAAATTAAATGATAGGTTGTTTCAAAAATGAGACTTTTTGGACAAACTAAGTATCAATGAAGTACCAATACAGGGTGTTTCACAGGTAAAGGGAGATATTTCAATGGTAGATAGGGGTCACCAAGGTGGTTCTGAAAATACCATATTTGATAGGTCTTAGAGTTTTCATAACGGAGATACAGGGCGATTTATCGATTTCGAATAATTATTCATTCGTCTATAAGTATTGAACTACCCAGTATATTTTCCTAAAATTTGGTATGGATCTTAAACTTGGGACGTTGAATTCATTCACCTATCGGGCGAAGAGAAAATCCAGGTTCGGCTTCAGGAAAAATTCACATTCATTCGAAATATTAAAATAACACACTGTATGTAATAATTGACAGAGTTCATCAAAAGAATCGTGAAGAGGGGGAAAAACTGAACTGGATTTGATGCTTTTTGTTTTCTCGCCACCAATTCTTATCGTAACAATCATAAACAGAAAGCTGAAAGTATGTCAATTTGAAGAGTATTGAAATTATGAAACCAGTGTCAATTATGATTATTCGATATATTTTAGTCAAAAAATCGCTCGAAAGAACTTACTAAGTCTCACAGTTTTTATAACGGAGATACAGGGTGAATTATCGGTTTTGAATAATTATTCACTCCTCCATAAGTATATAACTACCCAGTAACATTTTCTCAAATATGGTATGTAGCTTACTTGGGACGATGGATTCATTAACCTATCAGGCGGAATTATAATTCGATAATTCACCCTGTATCTCTGTTATAAAGACTATGAGACTTTTCCTGAAGCTGAACCCGTATTTCCATTCTGCCTGATAGGTCAATGAATCAATGAATTTGAGAAAATATTACTGCGTGGGTAGTTTGATACTTATGGACGAGTGATAATTCACCCTGTATTTCTGTTATAAAGACTGTGAGACTGCGACTAAATATCCAGTCCAAAAATATCCTGTCAAAAATATCCTGCTGAAAATAACCTTATCATTTATATCCTCAGACAATACTATCCTGACCAGAAATAACCTGTCCAAAAATATCCTGTCAAAAATATCCTGCTGAAAATAACCTTATCATTTATATCCTCAGAAAAAACTTCAGACCTAACCTAACCTATCCAAATTATCCCTGAACCTAATCAGAATTATCTCCTCCAATTGTATACTAATCATCAATCAGTTAGGGAAGGAAAAAAAATCGAATAGAAAAAGTATAGGTAATTTATTGAGAGCTTCAACGTTGAAAAATTATGATTTATCGAAAGCTTATTTTCCATGACACTAAAGTTTATAAAATCATTATAATAATTTGACTGAGGAACTTGCTGAGAAATTAATGAAACAACAATTTCCTTATATTTTAACATTATAAGCAACATTACGTAAATACTCTAAAATTGTTTTATTATCATATTTATTGATAACATTCTTCAAACGCTCATCATAATCAATATATTTTTTCCTTCTTTTCAGTACTACATCACGACCTGATTTTAGCTGCTCGATCAACAATTCCGTAGTTTTTTGTTCAGTACGTAAACAATCGATAAATTTGCCAAGCTGAGCGTGTGACTCATTAACGAGTTCAGAAAAAGCTCGATGCCAAGCCTCAACATTATTATTAGTACGCGGCAAATCACGCAACACACACTCATATACATTCCATAACTTGATGCTAAAAAGCGGATTACGACGATTATTATTACGAGATTGGCTTCCAATCCAAGTACTCTCAATATATGATAGTAATTGAGCGAAATCATCCTTATTTTTGACATGGTAATCACTAGATATCAGACTTTCATATGCTATATTCTGAATGTGCCTAAATACTGCTTGCCCAAAATGAAAATGACATCCCTGTAAATCAGTATCAGGAAAAACAATATCAAATGCATTAATAAACGCCAATTCATAATCAACGATCAATCGAGTAGGATTCAAATTTGGCTCATTACGTTTCAACACCTCAAGAACATCTTCATACAATTTTTTACTCTTATCGCTAGCCAATACATATACCAGAGGATACACTTTTTTCTCAAATAAACCATGAATATAGAATATAACTGTTTGAATAAAGATGGGACAGTTTTGAAAGTACCGTCAGCAAGTCAAACTTCACATTCACTTAAAAAGCTTAAATTACCTTCCGTTGTAAAAATCACATATGGTTTCTTATCATTACACTGATAATACAGAAACTTTTCACCGTCGGGAGTTTTTTTATAACATTCAGGGATTACCAAGTCATCGAAATTCAAAGGTGTCGGTAATTGGGGATTATGTTTTCGTCGAACACGATTAACATTCCGTTTCAAATTCCGTTCCGATGGCAATTCTGGAGCTGCAACAGTAGATAGCTTGGATGTCACCGCTCTTATAACCGACACAGTATTCTCATTACTATCAGTAGCACGTCGCTTAATATCAGCTATAGCTACTTTAACTTCAACCACAGCTGGATCTGGTGCATGGTTGTGATCTGTTGTGGAATGAAGGGATCCTTAAATGATATTGTTATGAAAGTAACACATAAAATGGTCGATATTTTCAAATACATACCATCTTTCTCAGATGATAATGTGTAAGCTTTCCCTTTACATTTTGTCTTGTAGTGGATACATCTCCAAATCACCTGAATCTTTGTGACACTTTTTATATTGTAAATAAACCCGTTCGAAATTAAAGAGGGCTTCCCCTTTTGATTGTTAATAATATCAAGCGGCATTTCCACCTGACGGTATGTATAAAATAAATATACAGAATATATACACTTTAATGGACATGTGCAGCGCGGGTCTACGACTAAATATCCAGTCCAAAAATATCCTGTCAAAAATATCCTGCTGAAAATAACCTTATCATTTATATCCTCAGACAATATTTATAAAATCATTATAATAATTTGACTGAGGAATGGGAATGTTATTGGTCAGGCTATCATTGTCTAAATATATTAATGTGCAGGTTATTTTCGGCAAGATTTTTTTGACAGGATATTTTTGTACTGGATATTTAGTCGTGCTCCCGTGCAGGGTATACCTGACCATAGATTAAATAAATAATAAAATAAATCTGAACAAAGGTTGAGCCAAGCATAAAATTATGTTCGAAGGTAGATACCTCGAGTCCTTCAAATTTTATCGATAGTTTTTTCAGTTTTCTTCGAACACTTTTTTATCTGGCAAAAATGTAAAAACAATCCTCAAATAAAATAGTTTTAGTGATGAAAATAAAAAATTATCGGATGGAATTTGAAGACAAAAGTTGTATTTGGCAAGATATTTTTTTCAGAATGATAAAAAGACACCAGCAAATTTTACGAGATTCAGTGCTATAAGTATAATACCGAATGATTTGCTAAAATTACGCATTGGTAGTTGGGAGAACGAAAACGTCACATTTTGAAATTGAAAAAATAATATGTATAACGATATAGAGTATATTTTGGACCAGGATAATTTTGTATGGGAATGTTATTGGTCAGGCTATCATTGTCTAAATATATTAATGTGCAGGTCAGGTTATTTTCGGCAGGATTTTTTTGACAGGATATTTTTGTACTGGATATTTAGTCGTGCTCCCGTGAGACTAAGTAAGTTCTTTTGAACGATCATTTAACAAGAATATATCAAATAACCATAATTGAAAGTGGTTTCATAATTTTAATTCTTGAAATTGACATACTTTTAGCTTCCTGTTTATGATTGTTACGATGAGAATTGGTGGCGGGAAAACAAAAAGCATCAAATCCAGTTCAGTTTTTCCTCCTCTCCACGATTCCTTTGATGAACTTTGTCAATTATTACATACAGTGTGTTATTTTAATATTTCGTCCCAAGTTTAAGCTCCATACCAAATTTTAGGAAAATATACTGGGTAGTTCAATACTTATAGACGAATGAATAATTATTCGAAATCGATAAATCGCCCTGTATCTCCGTTATGAAAACTCTAAGACCTATCAAATATGGTATTTTCAGAACCACCTTGGTGACCCCTATCTACCATTGAAATATTTCCCTTTACCTGTGAAACACCCTGTATATTCGATCAAAACATCATTGACAACACAAAAAATTAGATTCAGAAACGACCGATGAAAATCTTAAACACTCACTAGCTAAGCTCCGAACTAAGATTAGACATTATCGTGAACTCTATACTGAAAAACTACCAGTGAATTAATTTTGAATTTTTTCATTCATGCTAAGACGATGAAAAAAATAAATTAGTATATGTCCATTTCAAAACACACAATTCCTGTGCCATTTGCAATTTCATCAATTCATTGGTGTGACTGGTGCGACGTCTTAGTCCCAACACGCCTATTGTCCTTGAACTGACCAATTACACTGCAACACTGCAGAATGACGAGGTATTAGAGAGAGATAGCTACAGTTCGGGACTAATACGTCACGACTCCATCATCATATTTGGCTGTTTGAAATATCAAATGAAATATGCTGATTTCAAAACGATATAGATTCGATTCCCTTCAACTTCAACTCATAATATTGATTGTACATAAAATGTGAATCATGATTCGTCGATTGAAAGAGGTTTGCACGGATTTCTTCCCTCAGTGGTCTTCCCCAATAATTTAGTATGTTGAAAATTATTTAAAAAAATAAGTTGCCTGAAAAAATCCTGGCCAGAATATAATTAATTAAAAATTGGAAAATCACTTTTTTTATTTCTACCGATAAGTTTGATGAAAAAATTTTAAATCAACCATAATTACAAAGCCTATAGAATATGCCAGGTATCGACAGGTATTTTGGTCTTGGTTATTTTTACCTACTTGCTTAATCTATAAATTGAACATAAGAATTAGCACTGTTTTATTACGAAAATAATGATACAGGGTTGTCTGCAAAGTCTGTCCTGAATGACGGTTGTCGAATTTTAATATATAAAATGTCAACGTTAGACAAAGATGTCCGAAACAAATATCTACCGAAATCTAT